ATGTTGTTTTGAAGAGTTCCAACGTCCTCAAAGAAATAAGAGAAATCAAGGACCACATGACTATTGTCGAAGGAATATAATCATTTTAGCTTTCGCGAGCGAGAAAATTAAGAAAAATATCAAGTTGAATTATACAATTGAGTGTTACTAATGAACAAAAAGCTAGCTTTCGGTGATCGTGGCACGTGCTGACCTATAAATCAGATCTTTACATTTAGGGTGTTTTTTTTTTTTTTTAATTAACTCCAAATTGTGAACCCTAATTTGAATGTTTGACTGTGCTTGGGCAGGGAATGATGCCCCACACATGCAAGGAGTAGTCAAGGACAAAGAATAAAATTAACAGAAAATAATTTAAGAAGCTGATGTTAATTAGAAATGGTCGAGTGCCTGGGTGTATCCAGGGAGTTCTGATTCAGAAGAATCTGATACATTCAATTATTCTTTTATCATCTCCTCTACCATTTATCTTCTTTTTAATTTATTTAATGCTATGGGGTATACAGTAAACAACAATTCTTTTCTCAATCCTACAGTTTCAATATTTAAATTGGAATTTTATAATCTATGCATTAAATATACATAGAAAAATATATTTAATTTATCAAGGGTTTATTAGATATATTTATTAGTCATAAATGTACATAAAAATTATAAAAATTGATATTAATTTTAGTGTGAGGTGAATTTACTTAAATAGTTAATAAATTAAAAATTAATTTTTATTATTTTAGTATAAATTTATAACAAAAAAATATATAATACACTCTTAGTTTATGGCCTAAGGCACAAATTAAACAAACTCATTTAAATTTAATCAAACTTTTAACTACACAATTCTTAACCACTAAAACATCTCTAAAAAAAAAAAAAACAATTTTATCAGAGAAACGCCACTTTTGTTTATTATAAAGTGCAATGCTTTTAGTCAAATTATTATTTCTAGAAATGGCCGAAAAGGGGGAATTATTGTTAGAGAAGCAGGTAGAGGATAATGACCCAGAAGAAGGTCTGCTGTACCTGAGGTTCAAGTCAAATATTTTGGCCCAATAGTGAAGATCCTAAGAGGTTTTAACAAGTCTGATAGTATGGACCTGATCTTTGCCACCAGGCCCAACCCAACATCACCTAATCTATTCCACAGATAGGCCAGACACAGCCCAAACTACAGAATCTAGAATCTCCTCCATCCCGTTCCACTCTTTTACTTTAGGAATCAATGGAGGCCCATTTCCTCTTGAGGCCCAAAAAGCCCATTTTCGTTTTAGGCCGAAACTTCTATTATTATTATTACTTGTTGACTGGGGGCGACTTCTGAATTACGCGTTCCTCCAAAGTTTTTAACTTCTTGGAAACATCCGTCTTCTTGTTATTTCACTGTGTTTGGTTGAAATTGAAAACCCTAGAAAACCCAGGTAGGAGAATCCTTGGTTGGGTGAAAGTTTTCTACTTTCCTCGATACAATTAGGGTTTCTGGTGGTTTGGGCTGATTGGGAATCTATGGTTTTTTCGAGCAGCTGGCAGTTTCTTTTGGGGGTTTGTTGTTTAAATTAGGGTTTTTTTTTTTTTTTTTTGGTAGGGTTTTAGACAAATTGGGAATTTAGGGTTTTTGGAGCTGTTAGGGTTTCTTGGTTTTTGGGTAAAGTTAGGGTTGGAGGATGGAGTCTGATCAAGGGAAGCTCTTTGTGGGTGGCATATCGCGGGAGACAAGTGAAGATACACTCAAGGGTCATTTCAGCAAGTATGGTGCTGTTGTGAGCTCAGTGGTGGCTAGGGATAAGAACACAAAAAGTCCCAGGGGTTTTGGATTTGTTTTGTTTTCTGAACCTTCTTCAGCTGACAAAGCACTTCAAGACACGCATGTTATTCTTGGAAGAACGGTCAGTTCAGACACTCTTTTATTTAATTGTCTTTCTGTCTTGGTATTAATTCTCTTGATTCAGATAAATTTGGAAAGTTTAGTTAATACTGTGTCTCTGTTTGGTTGCTGAGAAAGTAAGGAAGAGGAAAATTTTGCTTATTTTGTTTCCAATTGTTTTGCTGTCTTATCATGGTTATGGTTATGAAGGAACTGCATTAGAGACGTTTTCTCAGACGCCAAACAGAGACTAAAAATATGCTTTTATTTTGCTTAATTTTATTGCTTGACTTTTTAGGTTGAAGTGAAAAAGGCAATACCCAGAAGTGAACAACACCAAAACCAACCCCAACATCATAACCCCAGCCAAGAACGGATGAGCCAAAATTGTAGTAATGATGACAGCAGAAAACAGTTTAGGACTAAAAAGATTTTCGTAGGGGGTTTGTCATCTAGTCTAACTGAAGATGAGTTTAGGAGCTATTTCTCAAGGTTTGGTAGGATAACAGATGTTGTTGTGATGCATGACAGCATGACCAATCGGCCTAGGGGATTTGGGTTTGTTACTTTTGACTCAGAGGAATCTGTTGAAAATGTTATGCAGAAAACTTTCCATGAGTTGAGTAGTAGGCTTGTTGAAGTCAAACGTGCTGTGCCAAAAGATGGAAGTAATGGCAGTAACAATAATTATAATTTAAAAGGTGGTGTTGGAAGGAGGCCTTCTTATAGTGGACCTCAGCCTTTTGAGTATCCTCCAAGTGGTCCTGGATATGAAGTGTTTCCTGGTTACACTACTTTTCCAGGGTATAATGGCATTGGAGCTTATCCTTGTACAGTAGGTTTCTATGGTGGTGGGTACCCTGCAGTAGGGTATGGTAGGATTGGTTATGGCATGAGTCCCATGGCCCCTAGGGGCCCTTTGTATCCCCCAATGATCCTTGGAGGCAGGGTTTGCCCTGTGCTGCCTTATGGTGGGGCTGGTGCTTCTGGTTATGCTGCTTATATGAATGGTGGGATTGGAATGATGGGTACAGTGCCTGGTGGGAACTGGATTATGAGTCCTGGAGTTGACGAAAAATTGGATCAGGTTCTTGGTGGCACTGAAGATCACGCAGCTAATGGCTCATCACCTCAGATTGAAGGGATAAAATCAGATAATCCTTCAGGTGTGAAGAAATACAGTGGTGGTGCTTCTAGCAAGCAAAGTCAGAGAACTCCTGATGGGAAACTGAAGCCTTTACCTGTAGGTGATTCTAGATAACTACTTTGTGCATTTCAGGGCAGTGAGGAGTTAGTAAATTCTTTCACAGCATGGATCATGACTTCTAACCATCAGTGTTTAAATGTCCTTAATTTTTTAGATGTTATCCTGTGTCATAACCATGTTGCATGCTTTGTGTCATCTGTAGTTTTAATAATTTGTCAGCACAACATTGAGCATTCTGTAATATAACTGCATTTCAATTATGTTCGTCACTCTTCCTACTTCTGTTAGGGTTGAGATGCAGTAGCTCATGCACTGGAGGCTGAGTTCGTATTTTCCTGGTTTTGGTTTTATTTGGAATTGATTCTCCCCAACCTGGCAACCTCTCATCCATCTTATCCCCTTTGCCATTGGCACGCATGTGCATGCATAAAAATTGATTTTGAATGATTTAGATAGTTCTACAAGTTCCAATTATAAATGCATCCAAGAGCACAATTGAGCAGCCATGCACCACCACATCAATTGCAAGGTGGCAAATGATGCTCAGTGCACAAGTTCCAATTGCATTTACAATGCAGGTGCTATCTACAAAAAAACAATCCAACTATATTATGAGATTCCCCTGGTAAGGGAAAGGTTTTATTTAAAGTTTAGAGCACTTGAAATGATTCTATTTATAGTGTTTTAGCTATTCTATGCATTGATGAATCTGTTTTTTATACATGAATAGATTTTTTTTTTTTTTTCCAATAGGAAGTTTGATTTGGTCTTTTCCCATTCTGCCTTTGCTTTTACAATTTATTATCTATCTTTTTATTTTTTCTGTTTTTTTGGAAAAAGAAAAAGGCATTAAGCTAGTTAGTCAGTGAGTAATAGGATTTTTTCCATTGGTGAAGGTAGCGATCCCTCCTCTCAGCAATTGAACCAATAGAGACCTCTTCCTTCCCCCCTTCCCATCAAATCAGACATCTCCATTCTACACCCTGTCCTCCAAAATAAGGAATAAAATTTATAGCTTCAACATTCAGCTCTACAGGACAGTTGGAATTGCCATAATTTGAATTTCATTTAGTTTGCTTATCTGTATGTGCTTTCAAGTACGGCTTACAGCTTCCAGGATTATGATTTTAGTTTTCTGTTGTGTTTGTTTATCTGGATTTGCTTGCTTGCTTGCTTGCTTGTGTGTCTCTTACTCAGGTGCTTTTAATGCTCTCGAAAATCGAGTCATGAAGCTCAGTGGTCTACCTTGATGTTTGTTTCTTCAGCACGGCAAACTGACTGGACTAGGTTTGAGCAATTCAAAGTTCTGATGGCCGTTATTGCTTATAATTTTTCTTGACATGTAGCTCATTCGTGGTTCTGGTTGCTGAAACAAAATTATTTCAGATTTTTCTTCAAAGCTGGTGGTTGTCATAGCTGGTTTCTGTTTTGTGCTGCAGACTGCAGTCCAAGCTGAACGCTCTTTGTACTTTCAATTTACACTGTCTTTTCTTTGTAAGGATCTTCTTAGTAGCAATCTGCCAATCTCCCATTAGATTTCTTTTCTCAAGAAGAGAAAGGTTATGAACCCACCAAACATGTTTTTTCATCAGGCATTTCCTGGAAAAGACTAATAAAAATGAAAAGGATTTCTTGGATAAATTAAGAATGAGAATTTAGAACACTTTTCTTATACCAAAAAAGAGAAACGAATTTCGCTCATGGGTTTGTTAAGGTAAATTCCAAAATTTTCTTCAATAAATTTACCAAATTTGTAAGTCAAGAATTCATTTAAAAACATGTTTTTGCTAAAAGAACTTAACTAAATGGTTCATCTATTACTCCCTCTTTTTTATTTTAATCGTCGTACTTTAATTAGTAATTTAAGATGTTAAAATTTAATTGTTTATTTTTTTTATGAGTTTAATATTTATTAGTTTTTACTTTTATAAAAATTGAATTTTTAATTTATATTTGAAAATTGAAATTGAAATTTAAAATTTAATCAAATTTTAAATCTAAATATTAATATTTAATAAAAATATATTTTTAAAATTTAAATTTAAATTTAATTAAATTAAATTGTGTAATTTAAAATTATAATTTAAAATTTTTTAAAAAATTAAGACGTTTATGCATTTTTTTATTTTAAAATATTATTTTATTTTTCAAAAATAATTACAACTCAAATCATAATATGTACTTTATTTAAGTAATGGTTAATGTTATCATAAAAAAGTAGTAGTTATTATTTTTTTTTTTTGGTTTTCCGCCCGGTATCCGAGATTTCGCCTTGACTACTCCGGACTCGACCAGTTGTGGCGCACCAGAATGGTGGGTGGGTCTCCCAATGAAAGTTGTTGCGTACACAAGGTCTTGAACTCGAGATCTTGCTTAAACTGGAACAAACCGCTTGCCACTTGATCCAACTCCTTGTTGGTAAAAAGTAGTAGTTATTAAGAATAAATAAAGAAATTTATTATATCTCTATTTTATTTATAAAATGTGTCTATTAAAATTGGGCAAAAGAATAAATAAAAGGATTTTCATTTTTTCTCTTTTTGCCATATATATATATATATTGCCATCTTTATTTTTATTCTTTAGACTTAAAAAAAAAAAAAAAAAAGGGGATATGTTACAGATAAAAAATCAAGGACGTATTTTCTGAACCCAAGAAGTTGGTGGCCGAAATTCAGCAGAGAAATGCTTGTGCTAAGCTCTCCGACCGGAGCTCTAGCGTCCGGAAAATGTTCCATCAAATTCAAAGCTCCGATTCAACCTCTCTTCTCCAATACCACCATTAATCGAAGACCCAATTGCGTTTCTAGAAGGAAC